GGGGGTCGGCGATTGTAGTGATCGTGGGAAGCCGCTTGGATGTTAGGTAATTGAACAATTTCTCAGAAAATAGAAGCGCGAGAACGCGTAGAGTATCGAGAGCACGAGAAGAAGACAAAGAAAGAAAGAGGAGAAGTGAGAGAGAAGGGAAGGCGGAAAACGTAAGCATGGGAAAACGTATGATGCGACCTTCGCGTGCAATTAAATGTAACGGTGATGGCATCGGGTTTCCATTGGTGGTATAATGTCGCAAGCACTACTAATTGGCGCAACGGGAGGTGGCGTCGAATACCACGGTTGCCCCTGTCACGGAAGCCTAACACAAGAAAATTACACAGATCGGAATTGGTTGGTTTGATTCAATTTACCGCACTCGATGTTGTATCCAACAATGTATTTGCAAGCGAATATCGTTGGGTATATATATATATCCAAAACAATAGAATGTGTTCATTAGGGACGGACTTCTATAGAACGCGCTCCCACTTGATACAATTAAATCATTTAGATGATAGCGTGGTATTGCTAGTCGGTCTCGAATCCACTCGACTGTAATCAAAACTTCAATAAAAACAAGGGGCGTTTTTTTAAGGCAAAGTTATAATAAAATTTCGAAAAATATTCTCTTAGAGATAAATATGTTTTAAAGATATTTTCAAAATTGTGTGTTTTATCTCATTTTGTAACATAATTACTTTTTTATCGGTCGTTTATTATCTCTCTTTTAAATGTTAAAGATATTCTTTGGATTTAAACTATTTAACACGAAAACGAAAATGTATTTTTTTTTTTTTTTTCGATATATCCACACGTTTGCGAACTTTCCCATCCAAAATTTATGCCTATGAGGATTAGTGGCATTCACTTCGCTGAGCAATAACATCTCGTATAGCACAACGCGTTAATCCGATGATGAGCGAAACGATAGGCGAACATCGCCGACAGTAACGAGAGTCGACAGACCGTAAGAAAAAAAGAGATCATCGGCAATGCAACAGTGGTGGTCAGTCCAACGACCGTGTAGAAATACGCGCGCGCATGCAGCCGCAAATGACATCAGGATAATTTTCCAGCTCGAAAATCACGGGGCACACGAGGCAGCCACCGTGAACGCGCAACGTGCCGCTGACACTTCAACAAGTGGATACACGCGCACGTGTCGCCGACAGTTTTGACGTGTGTGCGTTGCGTGCGTGAGTATATTGCGCGCGCGATAGAGAGAGAGAGAGAGAGAGAGAGAGACGTGAAATAAAAGTGTGAACGACGTGAGAGTGCAAGTTCATCGAACCGCATTGGTCATGATAAGTCAGGGTCGTTGATACAAATGCTTGCCGCGGCTTACCGCGGGCGTTTAAATATTTTAGTTGTCTCCGATCTGCGAAAAATTGGGGATATCGTTACACGCGGCTGGTTTACCGTATCAATGTTACGCGAGTTTATTTCTGTTACGGGTAGAGAGATGATGCAAATTGACATTACGAGATAGTAAAAAGTCTCGTGTTTTGTCACAATTAGAAGTCGAAATATCGCATTGCATCGATTTGTAACATTAATTATGTCCAAAAATCGGTCTAATATAATTAAATGTTGAAAATACGGTAAATGTTGTTGTCTCATGCAAATATTGTTTAATTATAATATTCTTGAGGCTTTCACGGGTGTTACCTATGTGACAATCTTGCGTTTCGCGGGTTTTCTCCGTGTTCAGATCCATTCTTGGAATGCCAACGTTTCGTGAACCTTGCAGTTCACTTCATCAGGGCGAGGAGCAGCCTGATACTGTATCAGGCTGCTCCTCGCCCTGATGAAGTGAACTGCAAGGTTCACGAAACGTTGGCATTCCAAGAATGGATCTGAACACGGAGAAAACCCGCGAAACGCAAGATTGTCACATTGTTTAATTATATTTATAGCGGCAAAAATGTCACTCTTTTGTAAATTTATCCAATTTATACGCACATGGGAAATATTATAAAACCAACAACGATAAACTTTTGCTAATGAAAAAAAAATTTATTTTCCATGCACTAATTAATGAATTGAAAATTTTAAACAGAGACTACGATATATCTTATTAGAATTTAATATTTCCTAACTTATTGATTTACTGTATAAAAATAGAAAAATAGAAAATTGAAGAAGCTATTATATAAAATTTAATATTCAGATATTTAATTGAAAATATATTTTTAAAGGCGTTCTACAATGCATCGTAAATACAATACCTCGATGCGGTCTCAATGCTTCGCGATAGCTAATTAGAAGAATCAATAGTAATTATCGATTCTGATTGGCTGTTGCGAAGCATTACGACTGATAGGGTGTTTGCAACTCATCGTAGAATGCTCTATAGTTTCCAATTCTTTTTCCTTTTAATGTTTCTACATTTATCCGCAAAATAAAAGTATAAAAATCTCTACTTTTGATTAAAAAATATTACTAAATTTTTCAAACGTATCTTCTTAAATTAAAAAATCATTAATACACTGAAAAAAAAGATTGGCTGCTGCAGTAAATTAGATGGTAAAATATGGCATAGCATTTTT